TAAAAACTTAAAAAGGTCGGAAAATTGACTTCCTTTCATATATATATATATATATATATATGTGTGTGTGTGTGTTATTTTATATATAAAACAAATGCGACATTCAGAAATTACAGAAATAAGAATGTACGATTTAAATGTTAATTGTCCTAAAAATATTACAATAATTTAATTTTTTTTTTTAAGTTTGGAGTGAAATATGAGCTGAATATGCTTTTGTGAGATCCACCCTTTATTTTCAATGTGTTTTCTGTGAGATTTAATTTAAAGAAACATCCCAAAGACGCACGCTAGTCATAAGCTAATGGTGATCAGACGTTCAGATCAGGATGAGCTTCAGGTCTGTTCAGGAAGTGTTTCCACAACAGTTTTATCTGCTGTGTGTTTGTTGTGTAAAGCAGACTCGCACCATACGTCACAACTGTATTAATCACTCGATTCTGAGTTCACACACATCGTTAACGAGTGAAAATAGTGGGGAAATTCACAATACATTCAGTAAATATGCTATTGTCATGTCTGAAAGATTATAGATAGGAAGCTTAGAACAATTTTACAAAAAGTGAGTTTAATTTTCATACACCCTTCAAAGTTCTCACAGGAGTGAGTGTTGGGAGCGTGAGCTGTGGCTGTGTATATTATGTGTGTGTGTATATGGATATTGATGTTTTTAAGCGTCTCTCTGTCATTGGCTGTGACGTTTGATTGACAGCCGGGAGGTGATGGTTTGTAATCCTGTCGGTTTTAACTGTTTGTCAATGTAACAAACATCCTGTGAACAAGAACATTTCTGTTGACTTCCTCTCTCTGCAAAGTGATTGGCCGGTTTGGACCTCCTGTGACCACGCCCACTTGTTTAATGTCACAGCGCTGGTTGTATTGATTGATATCTGCTGGGCATAAAGTGGGCGGGGTTTATGCTCAGAATCCGTTGATTCTGGATGATTTTGGGTGACTTTAGTTGAAATTGCTCTTGTTTGTCTTTTTCCTTTTTACATATGGCTGGTTAATTATGTTTGTAACAAGTCTTTTTGCCATAAAAAGTCTTTTGGTAGCTAAATTGCATATAATTATTGTGCATATGGGGCAGAAACTAAAGTGGGTGTGGCCTGTTCTCTGGCACTTGAGAAATAAACATTTAATACAATCGGTGGGATGTTTTTATTTGTATGATATATATATATAACAAATATATGTAAAATATAGTAATATAGTAAAATGGTATGAGACATTGCACTGTTTTGTGTAATTTGCTCAAAATAATGCTAATACATCATCTGATACACCAGATCTATTGTACCGAATGCGAAGTCAGAATCAGGTCATGTGATATATCTGCCTTTATAAAACGTGTAAGTTATATTATAACTGCAGCCTTGAGCGATTATGAACCAGTTTTAACAGTTGGGTGACTTTAATGACCACTGAAACCGGTTCTGCTGGTCTGGAGTTGAAGGAAGCATTCAGGACAAAACCACACTATATAATGCGTCTTTAAGGCATTTTATTTTATTATACACTCGCTGTCTTTGTTGCTAAATAAAACTACAAAATAAAAATGTTAAGCACCATTTTATTTGATTTAATGATGTCATTGTCAGACCTGGTTATAATATTAGTTTTTATGTTTTTAGTTTTCATTTGACATTCCATTTTAAGTCTATAATTTTTAGTCATTTTATTCCAGATTTTTTTTTTTTTTTAAGTTTTTCTTTTCATTTTCCACTGCAATAGAAGTACATGGACTAACTTAAAAAATTAAGTACATTTGCATTTCCTGAAGGGTAAGTTTTAAGAAAAAAGTTTGAGGTAAGTCTATCATTTTCAGTCATTTTACTACAGAAATTCGTTGTTTCAGTTTTATTTGATTTGCTTATTTTCAGTTACTTAAATGTTTTAAAGGGGTCATATGATGCTGCTAAAAAGAACATTATTTTGTGTATTTGGTGTAATGAAATGTGTTTATGCAGTTTAAGGTTCAGAAAACACATTATTTTCCACATACTGTACATTATTGTTTCTCCTCTATGCCCCGCCTTTCTGAAACGCGTCGATTTTTACAAAACTAATCGGTCTGAAAAGCGAGCAGAAACTGAATATATTAATATGTAAAGATAATAATGGATAATAATAAATGCTTTGGCTCACAGACATCTTCATCCAAGTTTCTTGAATAAAACTCATAAAAATGCACTGGCACATTTTCAATAAAACAGTTCCAGGGTTCGGATGTGGTCCTTAATCTTTGGTGGTTTTGATTAACGAGTTACATTAACTGGTTTCTGTTGAAAAATTGAATCTCAGGCATTCTCAGTAACATGTATCGGTGTTTAAAAGGGTCTGTACATGGATTCACTTCGATTGAAAGTGACGGTGCTTGAGAGTATGAAGTCAGAAACCCTCGTCATCTTCATCATTATCATCTTCATCAGCCCGTCTTTGCCGGTTTGTTCTTCTTGTTGAGGATCTTCATCAGGTTCTTGGACATGAAGTAGGGTTTCTGTGGACTGCCATCATTACGCTCCAGATCCTCCACTGCATGATGTAACGCACGGTGAGACACATAAAACACCGCACACATTATATATGTTATATAGCATTATATCCGTGGTGTGTGATACTCACAGAAACACAGGAAGAGTGTGTCCACACCCATGTTATACACACTGAAGAAGCCGTGAGCGATCAGATACGCACCGAACACCACCGTCTGTCACACACACACACACACTTTACAAAACTAAACATGTTCATTTGCCACTACCTGATTCAACTTTACATCTCATTTCTTGCATGAAACCAAAATCTAAGCAACTGTATAGCTAATTACGGAATGAAAGTATATTAACTCATTTAAACAAAATACAGGGAACAGAAGTGAAAGGAGTTTTAAGGGAAAATTTTATTGTATATTTAGATTTTGACTGAACTTGAAAACTGAACTCCAAATCAAAAATAATACAATAGAAATATATATATTTCCATTAAAAAATGGCATGAAAAATATTTACTGTAATGCAAATATATTAATAAAATTATTTTTATGCAAAACATATTTGTATTTTATTAAGTCTATTTTGCATCCAGATGTTTTACTTTTAAGAACTTTTAAGGAAAGAGTTTGAGGCATATTTAGATTTTGATTGAACCATGAAAACCTCCATTTCACCTCAAAATTAAATAATTTTTAAATTTTAATTAATAAAAAAATATATATTATGAATATTTTTCTTTTGCATTAAATATTTACTGTAATGCAAATATATAAGTAAAATAATTTTTATGCAACATTTATTTTTATTTTATTAAGTCTATATCAGATCCTCCAGATGTTTTATTTTTTTAAGAACTTTTAAGAAAAGACTTTGAGGCATGTTTAGATTTTGATTGAACCATGAAAACCTCAATTTCACCTCAAAATTAAATAATTAATTAATTTAATTAAAATATTTGGCATTTAAATTTGCATTAAACATATTT